TTGTCGGCCTCAACTACTTTCTTAGTTAGGTTATTCCAAGATTGGATGATTCTTATGAAAAATGAGCTTTTATAGCAATTAACTTTTGCTTGCATAATTGATAAAGTTTAAAAGAGTGATTTGCTGTAGTGGATTTAAGCTTCAAAGTTATCGTGAAACTTGAGGTGACTGTGACCAAAGATTATAGCACTCTATTTAAAGATAAATATTCCTTCCCAAGAGATAATTTGGCGCACCCCAATTGCTTACACCTGTCTTCGTAGGACTTTTCCCCTTTTCTTTGACGAAGCGCCGTCAGTCCTACAGGACGTTAGAGAGTTCTAAGAAGAATGAATGGAGCAACACGACAACACTGTTCAAATTTCAGCAATATTCAAATTTCATTCCTGGCCAAAAAAATACTTTTTTAGTCAAAGTATTTCTTGGCTCTGGCACTTGCTTTCTCCCCAGACTTCCTTTAGAATTCACTTCTTTATTCACTCGAATCAGCATGTCCGTCACATCCTCCACACCAGCATATTCTCTGAAAACCTCTATCAAGCTTCTAATAAACCAGCTCCCTTCCTCTTCATGACGATAAGAGCAGTACCCCTCAACGGTGGAGAATGCAGCGAGCATATCCGCATTTTCTGCCGTAGTTTTCCTACCACAATTCTCGACAGCARTGTAGGCTTTTGGCTCTKGCGAGGGTTGAGRTTTTACAGAYRATTTGGACCCACTTTCCTTGACTACTGTTCCAGGATCTTTGAGTTCTCCTCGACAGGTGTTGATAAAAAAAAGCTTGGGTTTTCCGCAAAGTGACTCGCAGTTTTTGTTATTAAACATYTYWYGGATGCTTTGGRTTTTGATCTTTYCTCCRTCGCAGGCYACGAAATAGTCTTCATYCCCGTGACTCATGATGCAGACAATTAAGCAGTCGTAGGCTCCGAAATGGTACTTGGTAATGTCTTGGAATTCACTCAAGAGTTCTTCTTTAGTGAGGTCAACGAGCGTTTTGGTTCTAAAGTCAAGCTCTTCAAATAATTTTACAAGCCCCTGTTCATCTATTTCTGAGCCTTTCCTGTCGCCAACTTCTGTTTTAGATTGAAATTTGTTCATGTTGACAATCACGGCAAGTCCTTTAGGGCTACTGGTCATCTTATATACCAATTCTAGTTCATGCGGCCGATGCTGCTTTGATATGAAGCTGAACTGCGTAGGTTTAATGAAGCTAGAATCATCTTCTGCTGCTGCAGCTGCATGTAAATTATAAATTGAATTAATAAAGATCATGTAAGCTAGCTACTAGTAGTAAGGACACGCGGTTCTTTGATACTTCGGAAAATTTATCCATAGATCAGTTATTGCTTACGTACGTACCACTTAGTTTTTCTTCGAAAAAATTGAAGACCGAATCTTTGGCAAAATGAGACGTCATGGTATGTTTATTCGTTCCTGAAAAAAGAAGTGGAAAAACAGTAACGAACAGCAACGATTTTTTTTTTTTTTTTTTTTTTTAAATTTTCCATCTTGACATATTTGGTTTTGGTGGACGTCAATCAAAGTGTTTCCATAACATCTGTTAAAAACACAAAGTTTTGGCAAGGGCACGTGTAGAAGTCCATCTAGAAGCGTCCATCTGGTATTAGGGTGGCGTCTGATGTGTTTTGGTAGTGAGCTAATTTTAGACAGTACCGAACAACCATTCATATTCCTCGAAATTTCAGGCGCTGCGCTGATTGGTCTTTGTGAATATAGCCGGCAAAAGTAAAACAAGACGAAAATTAACTGTAGCGGCGTATACGTTAACACGCGAGTTGCCGGACTCGCACCGCAAATAACAACGGTTTTGTCACTATGATAGTTTATTCACTGAGAGGTCGACTGAACTACAATTATGAACAGCACAATGAATATTACATTCCACTGGTTACACTTGATTATTATAAGGATGGCATTATAAGGTAGTACGACAACTGAGTTACACTAACAACATAGTAATGTCTCTAATCATAGGCTATTACAAATAGTCTTATCAACTACTAAAGGCTATAGAATAACGATAAGGAATTACATGGTGCTTGCTTAGTGTGTATACAATCAATAGGTATAAATGGTTGAACAATACGTAGAGATAGAAAGGGGAATTACATATCAATATTCGCGGCTAAACCGGCTGTTACATGTTCGTATCAAGACTTGTGTAAACTAAACTAATGAGGCACGTGAGCGAAATGAAATATGATACGGGTCTACGGTAACATTAACTATAACGATGGCGCTGGATATTACTTGTGATTTGGATAGTAAAATCTTTATATAAATATTTCTGGGTGAAAGCATACCTGCAGACACTTGGTCACAGTCATCTTTACAGTTGATCTTCACCGGTGTGTCTAGTGGTTCTTCAGAACACACCCAATTTCTTGTTTTCTAATGAAGCAAAACGTTTTGCATCAGTCGTAGCAAAAATGGCAACCAAAAGGCGCCAAAGTTTAGTCAAAAGCAAATTCAAAACAATGGTCCAAAACATAGGGACCCAATTTCATTGATTTATGTTTTGGGTACCAGAAAATAATCCCCCCTCCCCCCCTCGAATAGATGCCGAGGCTGTTTGGAACATATGCAATCAAGCAGTACATTCATTTCGTTACGCGATTATAATTTTAGTTTTGTAGATATGTGAGCAAATAATCGAGGATTTCACTTCAAGAGCAGAGGTTGTAGGTAATTAATATCCCCACTCCTCCCCTCTAAGTAAATCGGGTCCCGGCGTAAGATAACAATAGTTTTTATATCACTCTACTATCAGTTTATCAACCATCAGAGAGCGAGCTGATAATATTAATTGTTGTCAATAAGTATTATATTAAAACTGAATATACGATTGGACTAGGGGTGTAGGTGAGAAGAGAGAGAAGGCATTAAGACAACTAACCTCTTTGAGCCATCTTTTGATTTTTGTTGATTCCTTGATGGTGGTGTGTGTAGAGTGAGTGAATGCCACTGCCTTGATCCGCCTCATTGCTTCATCAATTTCTCTAAGCTACAAAGAAAATGTGCATTATAAATATCTTTTACCAACGCAATGGTGTAATTGTACTACAGTCCTACTGAAATTGCGCGAAATCGTGCAATTTGCTAGTCTCCCCCGCAGCCGTTCTTAGTGTCGTCACGCAACGCTCACTCCCTCAATGGGGTAGACTAGCAATTTGCCATACCAGCTGAACGTTGAACGCGGCGGGCGAAGCATGAGTGGACAAAATGACCAGCCCTAAGCATGAAAGAACGAAGCGAGCATGGCTGTAAAGTGAAAGTGTTTCTCTTTTCCATTCTGCTTGCTGTAGGCACTTTTATTATGTTTTAGTCAAAAGAAAACGGAAAAATACGCAAAAGTTGGGTTACAGTAGCCTGGGAATGAGGGCCGGCGGCAAACCAGCTAAACATGCTATGATTGGCTGAAACAAAAATCCCCAATCAGTTGGTAAGGGATGGTTGGATTGTTTCCATGGCAATGTCGAAAAGCACAAACTTTTTCTAGTGCACGTACCTATGGAATGTCATGGACAAAACTTGATTGACGTCTACAAAAACCTACTTCGTCGCAGCCACGAAACACCGTGACGATTCCGCTCGTGCGATGTTGGCTTCTTTTTCTCGGTTTAGATAACTTAATAAAACAACAGAAAGCATACTTACGCCATGAAGAACTACTTCTCCACCCAAACTATGTGCAACAATCACGATGTGTTTGGCCTTGGCATTCTTGATGAATTTGTTCCAGACATATACAAAGTGATCCTGGGCGGATTCGCTACCCTGATCATGAAAATTTACGCCGAAGCAGTCAATTAAAGAACGTACTTTATCAGGAATCTTTGCTTAATTAGGGAGCAGCACTTGAATATGCTCTACTACCAATAAAAATAAATAAATAAATAAATTTTCATCGCTTATCACCATCGCAAGTACAGCAGTGGAGCAGCTCAACGGGGTCGATCTGAATGGAATGGAATGTGCAGGGACATGAAGAGATGGGTTGAACAAAGATATAATATGATATGAGATGAGATAAAATGTGATGGGATGAGTTAAGATAATAACTACTTTATTTAACACAGAATTCAGAAAGTTGAAGAAACTTATTTACAACGAAACCTATTTAGAACGACATGGCTCTTTTACTGGAAAGAAAAACGAAATTAGAACAGACTACGTTACCTTGAGTGCTTTCTCTATATATGGTACCATCGTCCCGCTTTCATGAAGCCCAGCAGCCGATTGCCCTTCATCCCTCGGCTTCCCTTTTCCTTGTCGTACAGTTTCTTCTCCCGGTGCCCCAGTAATCGAATCATCTCCAGTCACCATGTTATCTTTTCCTTGTTGTTCAGTTTCTTCTCCCGGTGTCCCAGTAATCAAATCATCTCCAGTCACCATGTTATCTTTTCCTTGTTGTACAGTTTCTTCTCCCAGTGTCCCAGTAATCAAATCATCTCCAGTCACCATGTTATCTTTT